TCTCCAACTTAGAGATAAGCATGTTGCATGGAACCATGTCTAAGGCCATGCACAAGTCCAGATAGATGAAATCAGCTGCTCTTCCTTTGTCCACACTGATGCTGTTACACCATCACATAAGACAGTTAGATTTGTCAGGCACTTTTTTCCCTCTTGAAGCCATGCTGGCTGCCTCAGATCACCTCTTCATCTCGCGTGTGCCTTAACATCTCTTCTAGGAGGACCCGCTCCATGATCCTCTCAAGGACAGAGGTAAGGCACACCAGCCTCACTGCTGTCTGCTGTGGATATGTTATTGTTGCCTATGCAAAATTTACACTTAGCTTGATCCAAAAGTAATGCCTCCTATTTATTTTTATGGGAGCTACAACAGCTACAAGGAGTGCAAGAACACCATTGGATAGAAGGAGTTCTCAGCTACAAAACACTGTTTATGAACATAAACACCACCATTAGCTATACACTTACACCAGCAATCAACAAGAGCCTGCATGCTGCGCTTTTAAAACTCTGCATAGCCATCCGGAATGTAGCTTATCTTTTGTGTCACTGTCACCATTATTGAAACGCACCACCAAATGCCTCACTGTGCTGACATCCACTGTTTGGTCTCCATAAACATTCAGCAAGTGTCAATGAATGTCAGTAAGTTCCATTTTTTCCACTGTGAAGGAGTTCAGTGACACACCTGCTTCATTCATGCTTCCATGTCAGACACCGTTCTGTCAGACTGCCCCTCTCTTGTCATCTGCCACATGGCACCGAAATGTAACGGAATACTCATGGGACGGTTCAACTTCTACTGCCATACCATTACCATCCATTTCTGACATTGTGGGTCAATATAATAAATTGAGGCATTACTTTCAGAGTAGCCTTCATATATATACATAAATAGATACGTTTGTTACTTTCACTTTCCACAAGAGGCTCCATGTGTTAAAAAGTTGAGACCGTGTGCTATACCATCTCCTTTATCATTACCTTAAACACACTTACTATACTTTAGCCAATAAATTCTCTATACTTCCAGACATAATGCTATATTGAAAGAAGTTAAAAACTGTGCCAAAGAGTTAATAGCAAGGAAATGTATAACTACAAAACATACCATATGCCTCACTGTTAAGAGAAAATCTGTGATCATGCTCATTGGTTTTACAGGAGACACGTTCATTCACAACGCTGACAGAAATTACTGCAGTATTTTGTTTGAAGTTGAGAGTTATTTACCAAATAGATTTGATGATCTTCCAGCTTATTAAAGGTGCTAGCGGTTAATGTATGCAATTTTTGAAAACAGAAATGAGCTTCAGTAATGAGTTTGATTTTTCTGTCAAAAAGTCAAACTGTACTTGAAGTTGTGCATCACTTATCTGTCTGAATGTGCTGAGATGCACATATTCTCCACATTTCTCAGACAATATGCCTTCAATAAGGCAAAACTACATGAGGTTCCTGCCTATTGTACTGTACCTCTTAAACTAAGAATGTTTATATGAGTATTCAATTGTGCTATTCACACTGCTCAAAAAAAAAAAAAAGGTATCTACAAAAAAGTGCTTTTTAATTTCAATTTAACTTCAGCACACCTTATCAAAAGCCATCTGAATAAAATAGACATGGGAAAGCTTGATAAATGATCCTTCATTTCTACATTTTGTATGTGATGTCATGGACAAATATTGCTGCACTACACTTGTCTGTCAGGTTGCCTGCGAAAATGAACAGCAAAAAGCTTACATTGTCCTTCTTTACAGAAATTTCCATTAGAACCACAAGGAAAGAAAAAGTCATTGCACGTGCAGGAAAGGTGAATGAGTTAAACAGCCAGAAGTGGTTTAGAAGAAGTTTTATCTATTTTATTGATTAATCACGCTTCTAAATTTTAGCATGTATTTCCCATAATCATTAATTTTCTAGTTAATTCAAAACAATAAATAAGGCTTTCAGAAAGAGATCACTGAAGTGGGAAAAAAAATAACGTATTACATAGTATATTATTTGGGGGGAAGGAAGGAAGTTTTCATGAGAAAAAACACAGAATTCAAATCCCGGTGCCAAAAGATAAGTAGATAATTTGATGTCTTGTTTCCAGTCTCACAGCTGGAAATTCCCTTTTAGTGTCTGTATCACAATCTTGGAGGTGCACAGGACAGTTGTCTGTACACAAGCAGTTGTCATTATCAGCAACTACTGGTTAGTTAAGTCACTACATTACAAGACTAGATACATCTAAATTAGGTATAAAGCTGAATATGACAAAAATACATATCTGAGTAGCTGTAAAAGTAATGGGCTCTATTCTCTCTTTCAAGTGAGAATAGCTGTCAATACCTCGTGATAAACATAACCTCGTGCATAAACATAAACAACAGCAAGAAAGAGATCAGAATCCCCAGGAAAATTCCTCTTGCAAATTCTGGTAATGGTTGGAAACCCTGCTCACAGAAATCATAAAGTATGGAAGATGTGCTTTGAGAGCTCAGGGCCCACACCTGCATGTAAATTAAACATGACAATGATCACCATGAAAACAGTAAAGTAATCCTCTTTACAAATCATACATGTTCAGTACAAAGAAAACAAAATTGCTCAAAGAAAGATTTTCTAAATGAACTTGTCAAATTGGAAAGTGTTTAATCTTTGTTGCTTTTCCTCAGTTTAATTTTGAAGCCCTACTTAGCTGTGCTACTTTACCCGAGCTACATGAGTATATAGCAGGCTTTTTGATAGCAAAGCCTGAGGAAGGTAAGTTGTGATACTGTTTTTGATAGAAGTGCTATGTGCTATGGCCCAGTTCCAAACCCAGCTGTCACACTCGGAGCACTGCAAACTTACTGTATCTACATCTGTCCCATAGTACATCTTTGAAACATGAAATGTCACGGGCAGATAAATTCATGCGTATCAGGGAGATACTCATGGTACTAGACTAACTTACAGTAAAATAATAATACTATACTACATTATTTATTATATAATTTTATGTAATTTTATGTAATTATTATAATATTATTATAACTCTATTTCTAGATTAAAAAAAAAGAAAAGCTAGCAAGAGATGCTTCAAACTGATATTTCAAATAAAGCTTTCCTGTTTGTGCAATCTAACATCAATATTCAGACTCTTAAGAGCATTGTCTTTTAAACTTTTCTGAGCTGCTACAGCAGATCATTCAAGCAAACTGTACATATCAGCTTTTCCAAGCAAAATGCTGGAGGCACAACCAGAGCACCGTTAAAACGAAGCTGAACAAATACACACAGAAGCATCGTTGGTTTACCTCAAGTAACTCCTGTATTCAGCTGGTTACCTCACTACTGAGTGAACACATCATAGGCTTGTCAGTCTCTGATTACCACGTTTCTGTAGTACAGAGCCAGTGCAGAGGGAATCACCTGACTACAGGGCAAGTGGACACAGAGTGCACCCCAGGCTGGAAGCAGCAGATGGTGGTTATGCTAGTTTGTATTAGATTCATACACAAAGCAATTTTAACTTATTCATAAAAAGAGCCACTACAAGATTTCATGGAAGTTTGAGACACCCTTCTATTCATTTTTGAAAGTGGATTTCAGATTAGAAAATGAAAGACATGCACTGAGTATGGCTGCTTCAAAGAATCAGGTTACCTAATTTTTGATAATATAATCATAAGCCATTGATTAATTATTACCAGGTAGGCACATTATTAGCTGCATTAACACAAAGAGGCATCACCTACATAGTGGAGTACAGCCTCCACAGGAGCCTGTGGTACCACTTCAGCCCTCAGAGAGCAGTAAACACAACATATGGCAACACAGACTCCTAAAATACCAGGAAATATGAGAAATGTGCAGAAAAATCTAGTTAACTTCATTAATTACTGAGCAGGAGTAGGAACTTTATGATCTACCCACTGATTCATATGAACTAACCCCATTCACTGGGTGTTGTTTGAAGATGCTCTGTGCTGTCTCCAGGCTCAAAGCTGTGTTAACGAGGGCAGCTCTCCCACCGAGGGAGCTGACAGCACTGCAGCAGGCAACAGAGGTTCTGGCACCATGCTGAATCTTAAAAAGAATGCCTGCTTCCACCCACTTTAATACCTTCATTTCCACACGAACATTCAGCAAAAATAATTCAATATACAGTGATTTGTTAGCCATGTTACAGAGCAGTAATGCACATAAAACAGAAGAAATAAGCATTTAATGCATAAATTGTTTAAATGCATAAATTGTTGAGGAACACTAGTCTGAGAGTTCACTGTAATGAGCTGAGGCAAGGATACGTAATGGCTATTATGTTTCACTAACACAGATGTTTCCTTGCTTTTCAAATACATCTTACAAAAACATTTGCATCTATGAAATATTTTTTACTGATTTCAAGCTAGAATTCCATGACACAGTACATTTGAGGCTAATGTTAGGAAATATGTAGATGCACAAAGTGTCCCAATGCTATAGTTTAAATAACTGAGTTTCCAGACACAAGAGTGTTTTAAACAACACCAGTGTACACAACTTTACACGAGCAGCTCGCTACACCATCCAGATAACGGCACATAGTTCAAATGAACTGTTTCACACATCAGCAACACATGTTTTGTGCAAGAGTACACTGCTTTTAACTACCAAATCCATTTGTACAACACAAACTTCTGAAATCTACATCTACCTAATGCAACCTCCTCCAAAGATGAAAAATACTTCAATATCCTGAAACATAAACTCTCCCTAAAGCACTGGGGAAGAAGTGCTGCAGCTATAAATTAACTTATCCCTTACTTAGCATTAGATGTACGCTCCTCCTCTCTCCTCAGGGGCTTGGGTTTTGCTTTAATAGTCACCTTTTGAACTGCTCTACTCATACAGAAGCTTTAAAAAAAATGCAGTTTCCCATTCTTAAAGAAGAGGAGAAGAATGACTTCACTCTTAAATAGAAGTGCAGTGCTAAAGAAACAGTGAGTAAAGTCATGAAATAAATTATAAAATTAAATTAAACTTACCTGATTTCTTGCTAGCGTGCTATTTCAGACAACAGGAAATGATTAAATTATATTTTCATGAAGGTAGAAGGTAAGCTTTATTTCATTGACTTTATCCTCAATACTTCAATCTTCCAGAGGTCTTCCTGCTGCAAGCTCCATTACACTGAAAGAATAAATAATACAAATATAACTTGGTCATGGAAAAAAAAAAAAAAAAAAGTAGTTGTTTCATCTTAGGTACTTATAACAAACCCATTGATTGCCAGTCATTATCTTATAGTTATGCTTGTAAATAAGTACGCACATTTTCAAGGAATATAAACTTTAAACCTTTTTGTATTTAGAAGTTCTATCTTTTTACCTTGCTTTTTTTAATGCTGTTGAAGATGTCTAACTGTAAGCCATTGTGATTGAAGTGGTGAATGGTATAGCAAGTAAGGAGGTATCAACCTTGCTCTTCAGCAGAGTAGGAAATTCTTTTTCGCAGATTAGGGTGCACATACTGAAGGCCCCGATGGCCAAGGCTATACCATAATTCCCAATTTGCTTATCTAGTTCTCTTGCAGAGCTTTCATTGCAACAGCTGTGTGCACCAGGCTTCTACTTGTTGAAAAATCTATAGAAAACAATTGACATCCTCTTCTTTTCCTTTTCAGTTGGGGAGAACTCCAGCTGGGCTAAATAGAGAACACAAATGTTTTCAATTGTATTCACCAGGCAGCAATAGAGACAATTCTTCAGCAGAGAAGGAACAAACTATGAGTGGTGTAGATGCCTCAAATCTGTTATGACTAACCAGGTTTGCAAGAAGATAAGTCAGAGTTTGGGAAAGGAAGGCTGAAAATTTTATTAAGGTAAAATCAGAATTCACTGATATATATTTCCAACAAAGCCATATTTATTTACATACAACTAGAAATAATGAAAAAAATAAATTTTAGGTGTGTAGAACAGGTCTAAAGGCTCAAATAAAGGCAGACAAGGAAGAATAAGAATCATGGGCTTCTTTCTTATTTAAAAGAGATGTACTGAGTCACAGCGACATCCTTCACAGAAATACACTTCTTGTGTGTCATCCAAGGCAGTTAATTGTATCTGATAAATTCTGCATAGGTTGTATTTGATAAAATTAATTGGCTAGAAGTTGCAGTCTAAATGAAACTGTCCTGTGCCAGACTTTCTGACTCAGTGATTCCTGAACACCATACATTATCAACAATAAAACTCAAAAACCCCAAACAAAAAATACCTAACCTTCTGAGAGTATGTAAAAAAATAGAAATAAAAAGGCAATGAAAGGAGCTAGCTAGAAATACAGGATTCCCTTTGCAACACCTGGCAAAACATTTGCTGTTTTGAAGGATTACAGTAAATCTGTTCATCAATAAATCAGGTAAAACAACTTCCCTGTGCGGAGTATTTTTGGAGGAGTACTAAAGCTGCAGGAGGAGATTGCTGTATTTCATATAAGATGACAGCTGCCACATAGGTTTGCATTTAAAATTTTTCAGAGGAAAAAATATGTTGCAGAAATAGATAGATATGTGCAGAAGCTAAAGATTAACAGTGATGGAAGTTCTATTCTTGAGAAATAATATAACTGGGAAAAAGGTTAATACAACAGTTCACCCACTTAGAGCACGAGCTTGAAGTTAACATCCATCTTTTTCTCTCAATAGTAAAGGAATGAGTCTCTCAGATTCTTCAAAACAGTGAAAGACACAAATGTTTAGCTAATCAAGTTTCTTAACCTTGCTGAAATTACAAACCTTATAATTTAAGAGTAAGCCATATTGAAATGAAATTAATTTAAAAATACATATTTAAAATTTAAAATGTACACTTACATAAGAGACAAGCTTTGAAACTTGGCAGAGTAAAGTGTGAAAGAGAACACTTTTAACATAACTGAGCCAATGTAAGTGGCTGCAGTGAGAAGACAATGCCTGTCCTTTTACATCAGGATACACAAAAACTGAAGCCTAGAAGTTTTCTGCATTTTGATGCTAGGTCAAAAACTGAGCTCAGTTGTTGAATAGGAAAGGTAGCCTGAACATTTACTGATGGAGATAAGAAGCGACATGTTGTTAAAGAGCAGTGCTGCAGAACAACAAACTGCCCTGAACTTGGGAGTGGGCCTGTGCAAACTTTTCCTCCTCTGGTGGCTGCCCTTTGTGTTTTCCCAAAAAGATTTAAAGGATTTTAAGCTAGAAGGAGTTGTGTTGGAATATAGGCCAACATATTTAATGATGGAGAAGCAACTGGGCAAGTAAAAATAGAAATAAGGATTTGTAAGCAACTCTACCTTCTGCAATCTTCATTTCCACTGAAATTCTGAGTTGAAGCAAATTCTGCCCAGTCCTTTCCAGCCCCCAGGAGCCTCACTTATTTAATCCCCTTTGAAACTGCTCCTTGCTGTAGAATCCTAACTGCTTGTGTCCTCCAAGATGGTCTTTCCCTGACTGTGCTCAATGGATCCCAGGGGAAGAAAAAATGTCCTCGTTTTTCCCCATGGGATTCTTCTGTTCTGGTCACTACTTTGAAGAACCTAGAGTGTAATGGGGACACACAAGTAAAATCATCTCTCAGAGTTAACATTAGCTGAAAATACTAAAAGCAACACAATAACACCGTGGGAGCTGTCAGTAATAGAGACGTGAACCTAAAATAGGCATATGTATGTCATCTAGAATAGGATAAACTGAATACCTATGTGGGAGAGATTTGGAGCCTGCAAGCACACCTTCTAGAGCATTACATTAAAACAGATGAAATTAAGTCCAGAGCTGCATCTTGTCAGTGCTGCACCATGTGTGTGTCCATGTGATTCAAAGACAACAATTTCACTTGAAATGTAGATGTTAAGATAATGATTTTCAGAAATACTTCCAAGGAAATCAGCTATAGCTATCAAAGCAGGGTACTCAGCATGGCATACTTCCAACCTGTCATAACAATTTGAAATGAAACTGATAAGGCTCACTGCATAAGCCAAAAAATGCAAGTGCTGCCTCCTATTTTATTCTGTTGGCCCATGTCAGAGGCAAATGTTGGTATACTGGTACATACTCAGTAGAGGCTGATCCTCCTCCCATATTTTGCTACATTTTGTTGCTGTGCGACAGATGGCAGCAGAGGGGCAGGCTGACATAGAAGTGCACAGAAAGCAAAGGTGTGGAATTGAATTTCTCCACGTGGAAAAAATGGCACCCACTATGTTTGCTGAATGCTTATGGAGACCAAACAGTGGAGGTGAGCACAGTGAGGCAGTGGGTGGTGTGTTTCAGTAGTACTGACAGTGATGTGAAAGACAAGCTGCAATCTGGATGGCCATGCACAGCTGTTACATCACAAAATGAAGAGTGTCTTGATCAGCTCATTCATGCAAATCAGCTAGTGGTGGTAAATATGCTGAAAAATAGTGTTTTGTAGCCAAGAACTTGCTTGATCAAACAGTATTATTGTGCTCTTTGTATCTGTTGTAGTTTCCATGGAAATAAATAGGAAGCATTACTTTCAGAGCAACCTACATACAGACTAAACGGAAAAGCTAACTGTGCCACAAGAAAAATTAACTCCCAAAGCAAAGCCAAGATTTGTTTCTGTAGTCTTGGAAACAAGCAAGCAAACAAGCCCTAGCTCTGGAAATCTTAATTCTCTCTCGCTTTTCTGAGATCCTTTTCTGGAGCATATTTGGCTAAACAGGGAATTATATACATTTGTTTTCACTAAGCATGCGGTATCTGAAATGAACATCTCTGGCAACAGACTGCAATTTAATGGGAATGGATTTAAGGAACGTTTCATGTCATATGAGTAACATCATTTTAAGCTCTTATTATCCTCAGCTCCCAGACGACAGTGATGTGCGAATTAATATAACGCTTAAACTGCAGAATTATAAAAAATAATCTAAAATATTTTTTTTCACCAGAAAATTAGACAAGAAAATACCCGGGTTAAAAGAAACAGACATCAGAGTTGGTTACTTGCACATAGATGAAGAGAAAGCAAAACAAACATAATTGTGCTTCTTAAAAGTGATGCTGTGCATAACTCTGAGGGGAAAGAGCAGCTTTAAGTAGTTGTGTGTTACCCAAAGCTTTGCAATGCTTTGGAATTGGAAACCAGGACTAAGAGTACGTCAGAGAAATATGTGAAGTTATCTCCTAATCATTTGACTTGTTGGATGCCCTGACATGGGAGATAGATTCAAGCAGGTTTATCTGAGTGCAAATGCCTTCTACGATAGCCTTGGAGGACTATGAAGACAGAGAGCAAGGATTCTTTATACAGTCTCGTTGAAGATGTCAATTTCTAGTGTGCATATTCAAAATAACTCAGAAAACTTAGCTGAAAGCAATTCAATACTAGGTTTCTTGTTTGTTTAATTTCAAACAAGCATATTCTGGCACAAAACCAGTTTCTAATCAAGGAACTGAATAATTCAATAATCGCTTCATTTTCTGTCAAAAAACTTCACAAAGTCTCATCAAAAGGATTGCATTCTGCTAGGGCTAAGCAGAAGGATGAGAGACAACTGCATTTCAGCACATCATTGACAGAACTCAGCAGGAATCACTACGAGAAGAGTTACAAAGCATATTTCATTTGAGGCAAAGTACTATAATAGGGATTTCATTTTGCACATGAATGTTTCCTGTGTGATATTCTCCAGTTTGTTTATTCATCAGCTGGAACTTACAATTCAAATGTGAAGGTGACAGGAGCAGTGAATTTTGTATTCTCAAAGTGTAAGACAGGGTATGAACCTTTTAATGACTCTTCATTCAAACCCAGCTTTCAGAGTAAAAAGTAAAATAACCTATTTTATTGTCTCTGTAACATTAAGCAAGAGAGGAAATCCATGTTTACGTTGTGGAGAAACATTGTATACAAAAGATCTGATGCTGCCTGAATGTGTTTGGGAAGAGTCATATAGTGACCCACAACCAGCAGGATCATCAATGGAGCAAAATAAAACCATATATATTTGAAAATTTAGCTCAAAGGCTTTCTATTGGTTCTGATCCAGAAAAATACCTTCCAAAAGCTTTTTTTTTTTTTTTTTTTTTTTAATTAAAATAAATATGCAAGAGATCCTAATTCCAAATGTCAGTAAATGCATAGTGAACTTCTTTAATATATTTTACTAGGGGGTCCAACAGGCTCAGAGAACTAATAACAGATGTTACAGAGAAAAGTTATGAAGACTACTTACAAAACAAGGATAAGAACAAAACAGGAAATATTCTCATAGGATTTCAATCTCCTGGGATGTGAACCACAGGTAGTTTAAAAACATAAAAATCTCATGTATGACTGCCATCAGATAATTTTTCTTTTTTGAGTACTCTCCTTTTAAGGCAAGAATCTAGATATGAAATAGATAAATACCATCTGAAAATAATTCCTAAGAGCTGTAAAATGTTCAGTCACTGGTTTTTCACAACCCAGAAAATAAACTAGCAGGCATAGCAAGTGATTTTTTTTCCTGTGCTCTGTGGGATTTTATCAGGAAGAACATACCTTTTCCTGTGCCCAATTTATCTAGAGGAGGAATTACATGTATTACCCAGCCAGGCCTTTTCCTACTGCTGTATGGCATTCTAGACAGACAGTTTTCTTCTATTTAATTATGCCTACCACCTACATGTGTGAAGTCAACCTC